TGGAGTTGTCACAGCTAGACACTCAAGAGCTTAATTTACAAGACTGAGTGTTCTTATTAAAAACAAAGTAAACATAATCCCGACCAAACCAATTTAGCATAGGTTTGCACTGAGAGTGAATTAACTGAGATGGGCTGGGGGAGTGAGTTGATGATTTATGGTGGGCCACATTGTGTTTGATAAAGAGGTGGGCAGTGTGGACAGTTCAAAATATTTCAGGTGATCAAGTTGGAATGGAAGGGACTCTTAACCATGGGTCAACAGGTTTCTTGACGGGAGATAGAAGTTATCATTGATAAACAAGGCTGTTACAGAGAAGTAAGAGCTTCAGTTAAATTATCTGAAATGGTGGGCTAGGAGTTCCCTGCTATAAATTATTGACCTTTTTAAGGAAGATTAGGCAACCAGTGCTTTAGGTCAGAGAGGCTTTCTGGCAGTAATTCAGAATTCCTCTTACTCATAACTGTCCAGATGGAACTGAGTGCAATTTAAATGCTGTCTATTAAATATTCTTCAGTAGTATTATCAACAAGCTTGGGGACTGCCGGTCACTTATATATTGCACTTCAGCTCAGTCATCCTGGAAATACTGGCTTTTTAAAAAGTTTGTACTGCTTTTTTGAGAGCCAGTGTGGTGTAGTGGTTAAGAGTGTTGGACTGGTATCTAGGAGATACCTAGCTCAAATCCCCACTGGTGCTATGGAAGCTCACTGGGTGAATTTTCACTCTTTCAGTCTAACCTACCTCACAGGATTGTTGTGAGGATAAAATGGAGAAGAGAATACTGTAAGCAGCTTTTGGTCCCTGTTGGGGAGACCGCAGGGGTACAAATGAAGTAAATAAAAATAAAATGTGATGGCCATGAACCTTCAATCTCAAACAATAATTCTATATAGATCTTGCAGTTTCAGATATCATTGTTTTTGATCCTAACAGTTTTGAAAATGCAATCAAGCACATTATAACTCTTGATCAGCCCAACTGGCTTGAAATCTTAACTGCAGAGAAACCTTCTAACCCCCCTCCACCTGTCAGGAATTATTTTCTAGATACATGTACTAACTATGGTCTTTAGCTTGCCACCCAGCTTCTCAGCGTTTCCTTACTAAAGGCAGCCCACCTGACATCACCTAGGGTCTGCGGTTGTACCCATTTTATGGAACAGTCTCTTTGAGTAATGCTGGGGGTGCTGTTCTTGGAGACTTTCAGGAGGCTCTGTAAGGCTTATTCACCAGAACTTTTAATGGAGTGTTAAGTCGCAGCCGTTTTACTAGGTTGGGGTGAACTGAGGTTTTATTGTTACTTGGGTGGTTTTAATTATGCATTGTGAGCGATGTTGAACCATGGGGAAAGGCAGGGTATAAATAATAGAGGAAGTCTTTATGTCCACTTGCCACTGAATTCTGCTCCTTCCATGCATCTTTTATGTACTGTGTTGCAGTTGGGTTTAAGTATCTGCACAGGTGGAACCCTTGAGCTCATTGTATGCTTCCAAGATGGCCTCTTAGAGCCACTCAAATTTCCCATACCGAAAACGTGTTCATACAGGAACAAATATGCATGCATAATATGCATATACTAGAAAGCTGTGTTTTGTGTTGAAATAAGTGTGCACCCTTGTTGCACAGATTTTACCTATAGTTGCCATGCTGTTTCTTACGTGAGATTTTTATCTATGTCAGAAATCTGTGACACTTGAAATAGCTCTAAATGCTAAAAAAGTTGCCCAGCCCTTCTCTATGACTGTTTGTATGATTCCAGGTAAAGGAGAGGCTGTTGCCTCTCCAGGTACTTTTAACATGAACCTATTCTGCAGCTGAAGGGTATTCGGTTAGTTAGTAAGGCAACTGTATTCTGTTCATGAGCCAAGCCAGGCCAGACCAGTATGGGACTGTGTCTGCTGCCCCAAATTCTTTCACGTCTTGGATTACAGCAGCAGAACTATAACAGGATGAGGGTATGTCTCACTTAAAATTGTGCAGGTCACAATAATGCAGGGTTCTGAATGCAGGGCTGGAAGTACTATGCACTTAGAATTCTCTACCAAGGAAACCAAAATTTGTGCGAACAAATTTTGCTATTTCTTTTAGATTAAGCAATTTATATATTTCTGTTACTTTATACATTTCTGCTTCTGCTAGTTGAAGATGACACTGGGCCCTGAGAAACTCATTTTAATAGTTGACTAAGATTCCCTTCAGGCTTAAAACACCTGGTGAAATCTCAGATGCCAGTCTTCACACCCAGGGTTAATGAAGCTTTAAGCTGCATTCAAAGAAGGATGTGGTCAGCTTTGACTTGTTCCAGGGGAAAGCATGAGAGAGCATCTTATCTCCTTTCCTTCTTAAGTGCTTCTGCTTAGTGTCCGTATTCAGCAGAGGTATGACAGAGTGGTATGATGGTTGAGCTGCCTTTCTTTTTCTTCCTTCCACTTTGTTGGATTTCTTTTAGGTGAGGAGAAACTGAATCATTGGCACTGGCCTTAATGAGTGGCCCATTTGTGAGGCTACATCACTGAAACCTCTTTAAACTGTGGACCTGTCTTCTCTTTCACCAATTGCTTCCTCCCTTTGTAAAGCTGCAGCTTTAGGGTAATAAGCAAGTATTGTGCAGCTGGGTGCCCAGTGCCTTGATTCACTTCCTTCCTATGTTTGCACAGTCAATTGCATGGCACAAGTATTGGCCAGTTTTAGGCAATGCTGCTTTAAGAAAAAGCAAGAGTTTATATATTACGCCTATGTATTCTGTTTGCTCTCCCCCTACCCGTTCACCCACCCATGCTCAGGGTACGAATGCAAAACCAGTAACACGTCAAGATGCTTTAAGAAAAAGCCTTAAGCCTTAAGTCATTTGCCTAGTCTCGGTTTTCTTTCTTCCAGTGTCATGATTGTAGCCAAACAGGAGCTTCTCTGAAGGTTGAACCCCTTATTTTCTTTGGGTACTGTCCATCTCCCATGGTAAAGAGTAGGGAATTTTTATTGATTATTATGGAGCTGCACTGTAACCCAGGTGTGCAGAGAACTGGTTTTCTGTGCCAGAACCGTTGACACATTTCTGTGCCAGAACCGTTGACACATTGGACCAGTTGCCACACTATTCTTGTTGGCCCACCAAAAATAATCCTAAACTGAAGGTTCCTCATACTGTGCAATACCTAGCAGGTCGGATAAATCATGTCCTTGTGTGCGCTGTGCTTCTGGTTATTTCCTCCTGTCCCCCTCTTGATTTGCATGTAAAGGGCCTCTGGTGGCCGCAGGAAATCTGCCTGGTGGGGTATATTTTAATCACATTGATTGTTTGCTAAGGTTGTTTCTTTAATAAAAGCTGTGTTAGCATCTGTTTCTTAATAGACAGAAACTTTTTCTCCAGTCCATGAGTGAGTATGTGATTAGAAAGTCTGGCTATTAGCTTTGGATGTGGGAAGCCCAAGTTCGGATCCATTCTCAGTCATGAAACTCAATAGGTGGTCTTAGCTGTGTCTATTCTCAGTCAAATCCCTTTGCTGAGAGGATAATGTGAGATAACACTAACTGTCCTAATCCCTGTGGGAAGGCAATTAAAATTTAAAAAATATATTAATAGGCAGGTGCAGTTTGTTTATTTATTTATTTATTTATTACATTTGTATCCCGCCCTCCCCAGCGGGCTCAGGGCTTCTGTATTTTCTAAGTTCTTCCTCAGGCCTCGTCGATGCATCCATTAAGATGTCTTGACGGTGGTGGTATAGTGGGGCGGCGGCTCCTACTCAAAAGCCTGGCGGAAGAGCTCCGTCTTGCAGGCCCTGCGGAACTGCACAAGGTCCTGCAGGGCCGGGAGCTCGTTCCACCAGGTAGGAGCCGCCACCAAAAAAGCCCTGGCCCTGGTCACAGTTAGTTTGGCATCCTTAAGGCCCGGGATGACCAATAAATTTTGGGGCCCCGACTAGTGCTCTTGGGGGAACATGTGGGGCAAGGTGGTCCCTCAGGTAGGCTGGACCCTGGCCATATAGGGCTTTATAGGTAATAACCAGCACTTTGAAGCAGATCCGGTACACTATCGGCATTCTGCACCAGCTGCAGCTTCCGGATCTGCGACAAAGGCAGCCCCATGTAGAGAGCGTTGCAGTAGTCTAGCCTCGAGGTGAGTGTCGCATGTATCACTGGAAGGCTTTATTTGGGGCAGTAAAATGCCCCACGTATGTGATTTGGATGGCTTGGTGGGAAGGAAGTGACTGCTCTGGAGGTTCATTTTCATGTCTTCTAACATCATTTGAGGAATAGGTGGTGCATATAGAACTGGCAGCATTTTTTATCTTCCTTTCCAAGAATAATGGAGCCCAAGGGCAGGCCAGAAGGACTGGGCAATTAACCCTAATACTTCTTATTAGCATTGTGGAACTGTAGTGGTACTTAGCTCCAATTTTGAGAATGCTAATTAACTCTCATTCCATTCCTTGAATGAGAGAAGTAGAGCAAAATCTATAATGTCTCAGACTCAGTTGACTAACATGGCTGTCCTTTGAAGTTGTTTCAGCATTGAGTAGGTACTTAGGCACGGCTGTCTACCAAGGATGTGTTTATTCTTCTAGAGGAGGTTCCCTTTCTTAGCGTACAAAGACTTGGCATTGAACCCCTAGACAGCAATGTGTGCTGTAATGGTGATATACGAGACAATCTTGGAGATTGTGTTTCGGTGCATTGTGTATTTAGCCTAGTGAAGGTTAGTTACAGGGAAACGCTCTGTGACCTGAAACAAGCTCTTTGCCAATCTAATATTCAGTTTCCTTATCTGTGATTGGAGATGGTTCTTCTGAGATATCTGTGTGGGTAGCACCAGGGGAGAGCTTGATGCAGATAAAAGTCTTCTTAAGGTATGAATTCTGGTCAGCTCCTGTTCATGGTTTGTTTTATATATATATATACACACACACACACACACATATATATATATACACACATATATATATACACACACACTTATATATATGTTTTGTTTTTTGTTCTGTATCTCTTTCAGGTGGAGGAGGAAACCGAAAGGGCAAAAGCAAGAAATGGCGCCAAATGTTGCAGTTTCCACACATCAGCCAATGTGAAGATCTTCGGCAAACATTGGGTGAGGATCACATCTGTAATGCTGAAAGCTGCCTTCCTCCCCACCTTGAACATATGAAGCTCCCTTATATAGAATTGGACTCTTGGTTCATCTAGGTCATTATTATCTACTTGGAATGACAGAGGCTCTCCAAGCTCTCAGGTAGAGAGGTCTTTCACATTGCCCGCTACCAGTTCCTTTTAACTGAAATGCAGGTGGTTGAACCTGGGACCTTCTGCATGCAAAGAAGATGCTCTACTGCTGAGCCACAGCCTCTCCTGCTCTTCCAAATATGATATTGGCAGGGCAGGAGTGAAAATGAAGAGACTTTCGTTGCTTGACACAAACTCTTGTTCATTCTTCTCTTGTCACGCTGAGAGCTGTAATTCTCATGCATCTTCAGATTAGAGGTAAAATATGTTTTACTTCATGCTGTGTTGCTTGACCATGGTTTTTACTGGCAGCCTTGTGAGGGGCCAGAGCTCAGTACATGGTTTGCATATAGGAAGTCCTGGGTTCAGCCTTGAGTAGCAGAGCTAGAAAGTCTTCGGCCTCAGATGGCAGTCAGAAGGTACAGAATTGGGCTAGATGGACATTTTTGGCTATCAGTGCATTTTTTAATCTTGCCTTTCTGTCAAGGAGCTTAGGGAGTTGTACGTGATTGTCCCTTTCCCATTTTTATGCCCTCAGCAACCCTGCAAAATAGGCTTGGTTAAGAGACAATGGCTTGCTCAGACAAGGAGCGTTGTGGCAGAATGGAGATTTTAATCTGGTCTCCTAGATTCTAGTCCAACACTCTTTACCACTGCACCAAACTGGCAGTTTCATATGTTCACTTATGCCTAGGGTTGCCAGGTCCCTAGGACTCGTGGGTGGGGGATGGGGGGAACTTACCAGGAGCCCAAACAACGCAACGTGCCTATGTCACCCAGGAGCCAGAAATAAACACGACGTGCCTACATCACCTGGAAGTGACGTAGGCACATTGATGATGTCAGGGGGCAACACTCTGGTTGTTGGGCAAAACTCTATGGTTTGAAGCTAATTTGACCATAGAGTTTTGCCCCAAAACCAGAACATCACCCGCTGATATCACTGACGTGCCTATGTCACTTCCAGGTGAGGTAGGCATGTTGTGTTTATTTCTGCCTTCTTGCCTGTTTGGGGGGTAATTTCCCCCCGCCAATCCGCTGGCCGGCACCAGGGGGGAGCACCAGAAACCGGGGGATCCCCTGCATGCCATGGGGACCTGGCAACCCTAGTTATGCCCCATATACTCCCCATTGCAGAGCTTCCATAATCTTCTTTGAAATAGATCACTGGTTCCCAAAGTGAGCAGTACTGCCCCCTGAGGGGCGCTGGAACGATCCAGGTGGGCGGTAGGAGCCTTGGGTGCAAATTTGTCCCTATATCTTTTTGTCCATTTTTCCAAGGTAGATTTCCAGGGGGGTGCTGAGTAATTTTTTTTTCTGAAAAGGGGATGGTAGGCCAAATAAGTTTGGGAACCTCTGTGATGGTGTGCTGTTCACTAGACTTTCTTGAAAAAGATTCTGTGTGCTCACTTGTGAGCATCAGTGCTTTGCCTTCAGCTGTTCTGAGATCTAACCAAGCTCCTCTCATCTTTCTGCTAGCTTGGTGGGAATCATCAACAGCATTTTTCCCTAATCCCAGAGCCTTTTAAAATGCTTCAGTATTTGGAAAAAAGGACTGCTTGCTCTGAAGAGACAGAGCATCTTCTCCTAGAAGCTGGCCAGTTTACTTTTTCCCACAACTGTTAAGTGAATCAGGTTTCATCTTCTGTTTATAGTCAGAAAAGAAGCTTGGGATGAAATGAGGGTGACAACTGAACAGCAAAACAAAATGCTCTTGTGTTTGAGGCCAAGCTTGATTCCTGCATTCCAGCACTCACTGCTGATGTGCCGACTTGGGGGCCGAGATCTCTTTTGCTATCAGAGTGCCAGTCACTTGATTCCTGCATTCCAGCACTCACTTGGGGGCTGAGATCTCTTTTGCTATCAGAGTGCCAGTCCAAGGATATATCCCAAGATGAAAGATGTCGGTTTCTCTAAGATCCCCTTTTAAGGCCAAGCTGATTCCTTTGACAGTACAAGGAATTTTGGGGGTGATGAGCAGCATACGCAGTGACCCTTAGGTGCAGTGAAGGTGGTCAGGGCAGCTCATTACTGAATATATAGCTCAGAGTGTCTTGTTACTGGTAATACATGATTATCAGGCCATTGGAAAGAACATTCTATACCGCTTTAGTGTGTGGCAAAGTATGAGCTTCCTCACAGATGGCAAAGGCAATTCTTCTAGCCTGGATTATGCTCTTTGATGCTGCTGCTGTTAATTTTTAAAAAGAGGTATTTTATCTTGGATTCCACTCTCCTTAGAGTGAACCAGAGTTAGGTGTTCTTTCGGAGGCTCAGATTTATTCAGATGATTATTTTCTCCAGGAATATAATTTTCCGGTTCTATAGCTGCATCTTGAAAAGAGCTGTGTAAGCTGGCAGCTGGTGGGGGCAAAATAATCCTTTCGGGCTCCGCAGGAGGGAAGCTGAGATATGTGGCATCTGTCTTTAAATTATGAATAGCACGGAAATTGTCAGTTCTAACTAGCTCGGTTAACTAGGCTGTAGTATGAAAAGGTTGCTGAGCTGTGTGAGAGAAGTTCATCACATAAAATCTTGATGGTTTGCTGTACCATCTAATTAGTCATGCTGACTTCGGCATTATGATATGGAAGACTGACGTTCTGAATACTGGTTTTTAGATCCAAGTCCAGCCTCTTTATGTGACCTTTCAGAAAACAGCTCAATGTTCTGTTCAGCTTCTCCTCTGCTCCTCTGTTTTTTGTTTTTCCCCCCTTGCTGATCCCAACTGTGGACTAAGCCAAGGTTTCATTGTGCTGCCCACAGTGACGCCCAGGCTTTTTCCTTGAGTGGTTTCACTTAATTATTCTTTCCGATGTGCATTATCTTGTGTGTGATGGAAGATGCAATTCACTGCTGGTGTTCTGCCAGTGTACCATTGCTGAGTATTGAAATTTCCTGCGTGGCTCACTCATCTAACGTCTGTTTAGATCTGGCTTAGGTTGCATGTCACTTTATTCCACCACTGCTGCTACTGGACTCATGATTTCTCTCTCCCATAAGGTGGCTTTTATCACTTGAGGGAAGGAGGACATTGTGCTATTTGGGCACTCCCTCCCGTAATCCTTGGAGACAGGAAGTAGGCTGAACTTTCTGTCTCCAAGAGGGAGGGAGTCCACCTTTCTTTGGTTCTCTTTCTGTATCCCCTACATGAACACAGATTAGGAGGAGCTCTGTAGCTGAACACAGCTGGGAGTGTGGCTGTGACATTCTCCTTGTGTGCCTTGTTTTTCCCCTCCATGTGTCCACATCTTCATCAACTCTTCTCTAAAAAAAGGAAAAGAAAAAAGGATCCTCCTGTGTCTTCTCCCCTCATCTCTCCAAGTGCTTGCCTGCTACAGTAATGTTGGCAAGTGGCTCAGTGGTATCTTTGAATGGGGAATTGAGCACAGGGCTCCCTGGGTAGCACAGCAGGAGGAGGATGCTTACACGTGCTGAAAAGCCCTCCGGCGGAGGAGCCACAAGCCACACTTGTTCAGGCTGTGAGGGAGAGGGTGCAGGGTGCTGTCTCCCAGCACACCACTGTTACAAGCTTCCCCAGTTAGTGCTAATTCAGACATAGCCCTTCATGTGTACAGGTGGTGCATATGCAAGGCATGATCTAAAGATCTGTCTGTATCGGGGCAGAGCTTACCAGCTGCTAGGAGACCTCAGAATTTCCTCCTGTATGCTGTCTTGTGTTTTCTGATGGAAAAAAAAGGTGGGATATAGATGTAATAAACACCTGTGAAACAGACTGACATTCTGAAAGAAGTGGTCTAAGGATAAGGAGCCCCTGCTGTGTGCATTTATCTTCCAGAATGTGTGAACTGACCCTGCAAGCGCTTCCTCGTGTCAGAGCAGCAATTTTCATGGCAAGCAAAGAGTAAATTTTCCTCTCCCGGTGTTGGAGAAGGAGGAAATCCAGGTGTGTAGCCACGGTGGGGCAGTTAGGGGCACGTGCCCTGTCACTCATGGCCCAGGCTGGATTCATCGTGGGGGGAGGGCAGTGTGGTGTACAAGGCTCCCTTCCTCTAACAGCACACTGGCTGGCTTTCAAAGGCCCCTTGTTCAGCCACACCGCAAAGGTCTTTCATGCTGTTCGCCGGATTCAGACGAGTCCCCGCAGTCACTCTCTTGTGAACTCTGAGCTCCCAGACTGGCCGCACCATTTTAGGCATTCAGAGCAGCAGGTGTGGCAGCGAGGTTTCCGCCTGTGATGCTGCCACCGCCTCCACTTTCGGAGACAAAATGGAGGCAGTGGGAGGGCCAAATGGCGGAAGAGGAGCAATAGCAAGACAGAGCAGAGAGAGAGAGAAAGAAGTATGTCCAATGATGAACCGGCCTGCTTGGCACAAAGGTGGCTCTACTGCCGCCCACAGCCATCCGCCCATTAACCCCTTGTAGGCCTCCCAAGCTCAGGAAGCGGAGCTTTCCTCTCTAGACCGATCCACTAGCTATCCAGGTCATCATTTATTTTCTTTTTCCAAATTTCAACATTTCTGTGACAGTTTTCTTCTTTCAAGTTTTTTGCACAGATCCAGCTCCTGCCAACCTAGCAGTTCGAAAGCAAGAAATTGCAAGTAGATAAATAGGGACCACTTCGGTGGGAAGGTAACAGCGTTCCGTGCGCCTCGGCGTCTAGTCATGCCGGCCACATGACCACGGAAATGTCTTCGGACAGCGCTGGCTCTTCGGCTTTGAAACGGAGATGAGCACGGCAACCCTAGAGTCGGATTCGACTGGCTTTCGAGCAAGGGAACCTTTACCTTTACTTCTCCTATTAGTTGTTTGTATTAAAAAAACTTGCTGGTTGAGCATTTCGTTTATGCCCCACAGGATTTCCCAATGCCCCACCAACCAAAATGTTCCGGCTACGCCCCTGAGGAAATCTGACTAACATGGGCATTGTCTAGGTACTCTAAGGGCCCTTGTCTTGTAAAATAGGTTGGCTAGACCCCCCAATCTCCTCTGCAGCAGTGCCATTGATCTAGTGGAACTGTCGGGCTCTGAACCCTTCACCTTTCTTCATTCAATGCACTCGTTTCCTGGCAGAGAAGGAAACAGTACCGCTTGCATGTGGCCCCTTTCCCCTCCCCTCCGCCCTTTCTAGTCTGGCGTTGTTTTCTCTGAGCATATTCGCAAATCAGGAAACCGCAGCTTCCTTAAAGAAACTGCGGCACAGAGAAGAGTACTTGCAACACGCTCCACGAGAGAGCTGGGGCAGAAGAGGAGCTTCCTGGGAAATGATGAGTAACGATTCCTGCAAGGTGGGGTGGGACTTCAGGATCCCGTCCTGAGTTCGTTGGGGTTAAATAAAGACCAAAAAAAAATCCTTTTATTTTATTGCAAAAACCTGACATGTTATAGTTACACTGGGCATGCATGCAGTCATCCACCCATTCGTGTGATTGCCTTTACTAGAATGGGATTGCTCCTTCCTGTCCCTCTGAGGCTGTAATTTACCACTTTATAACTTCACTTAAAAGTTATAACTTCACTTTATAACTTCACTTAAAAGTGATGCCGATGTATCCCATGAACAAATGGTCTCAAGCTCTTAAACATACATACCTCTTTCCATGAAATGACAGTCGTATTGAAGGGGTCTGCTCTTGACTTTCCGTGGTCTTTTGGTGGCTCTGTCTGTCTTTGCTAATAAAATGGGCTGATGGCACTGTTGTTGATTGCTGTTTAGAAGGGCACAGCACTGATGCAAAATGTTCTGCATCATAAACTGAAAATCAAAATAGATACCTGGTGGTATTAAAGAACAAGGTCTCACACGGGTAAATTCAGCCCTAATTTTATTCTCTGTGTGTTAAGCCAGGGAAGAAGGATGGAGTTTATGAAGAGTGGAATATAGTGTTATATAGGGGGAGTCGGGAAGAACATTTCTGCTTTTCTTTCATTCCATTTTTGTTAAACCCCATGAGTTTTAGAGCTTTGTGTTCCAGCATTAGTCACTTGATCTGGATATGCCTCCTGACTGGAAGGAGTATTTGGAGGCTTGGGGAGGGATGGTAGCTGTACTAGAGAGTCTCTGTTCCCAGACACCTGGAAACCTCATTTGTGACCATTGTGATTTTTCCCACATCAGTGTTTCCTAACCTCTTTACTGGGTTTGGAGACACTTGAGGGTTGAGGGAAATGCTAGCATGTCAAAAATGAATGAATGAATTAGATTTTTCTGAACCTGAACTGTCCACCCTCCAATGAGGCTGCCAACAGTTTCCCTGGTTGGTGTCATTGCTCTACCCTTACTTTCTCTAAATTAGACTCCACTGGAGACTCCTAATTAGACTCCACTCTTTATACCTGATAGGATTGGATCTTTCAGACACTGAGGAGGTTGCCTTGCTGTGTCCCTGCAGAAGTCACTTCTCTGGCTGGCCTTCTTTCACTCAAAAAGCATGCCAATATCAGTGACTCTTGCAGGAAAGAACACCTTGTAACATGACTGTAAGCATAAGAGCAGGGGTGTCAAACATAGGGCCTGGGGGCCAGAACGGGCCCATCCAGGGCTCTTATGCAGCCTGCAAGCAACTAGTGCAAGGGAGGGGACAAGAGACTGCTGGGGGGTGAGTGGGCAGAGCTGCTGTGATTGTGGCTTCAGCATGGTGGAACAACCTCATCTACAGCAGTCCAATGGTGTGGGAGTATTTGCCCACCATTGCACTGCTGGGTCTCCAGTCTACCCATGTGGGTTTTCCTCTGCACCCCCCCCTCCCAGCCCATGTGGCCTTCTAGTGATGCTATAACAACTCAGAGCTTACCAGCTGCTGTCCCTTATAAAGTTTATATCTCCAATACCTGCCATTATGTTTTATGGCACACATGGCCTGGCCTGACAAAGTGACATTTATGTCAGATCCAGCCCTCGTAACAAATGAGTTTGTCGTCTTTGCGTAAGAGTATCAGACCTGCTGCATCAGACTAAAGGTCCATCTAGTGCAGCATCCTGTTCCATGTACTGGCCATCAGATACCCACAATCAGGGCAGTCACCAAGCCCACCGGCATGCAGTGGCATGCTGCCTCTTGCCATCATGGTTAACAGCTCTTGATAGACCTTTATTTATTTATGTATTACTTTCAATTTATATCCTGCCTTGCCGGGCAAACCTTGCCTACAGGATTCTGTCTAATTCCCTTTTAAAAGCCATCTAAGTTAATAGTCATTGCCCCGTCTTGTGTCAGTATGCATTGTGTAAAAAAAGTACTTCTTTTCGACTTGTCTGAAGTTAACTGCCAATTACTTTTGTTGGCTGACCCCAAGGTTCTGTATCGTGTGAGATGGAGAAGAAGTCCACTATCCACTTTCCCTAGTCCAAGAATAATCTTATAAAATCCTGTTATGTTTACTCCCACGACCGCCCAGTCACTTTTTCAAAATTAGAAAGTTCCAAATGCTTTAATCTTTCTTTGTAGGGGAAGTGCCAACCAAGGATTTTGCAAATTACTGGCTATAACTAACTGGATTTCACAATGAAAGAAAAAAAAATAAAGACAGTATGATCATGATGCTAGCAGTTTTATTCTCTGTCCTCTTCCTTTTTGTGTGGAATTTTCCTGTTTTCGCCTACTCTGAGTTGCTCTTTTCATTGACCCATCCAACAAAACCCTGGTGTCACCTCCAGCTCAGATGCCTGTCAGAGTGATGCTAGGATATTTTGGTCCAGTAGACATCGTTTCCATTTACACATCAAAGACAAACATGAGAAGAAAGCTTTAAGAAGAAAAGAAAGCTTTTATTTCCTGCTTCTTCTAGTGACGGCAGAAGCAGGAAGGAGCTTGTATCCCCCCCCCCCGCTTAATAAGGAAACAAGTAAAGTTTTTGGAGTGTATACAGGTGGTAGTTTGAAAAACAACCTGACAAATTATCAGAATGAAAAGATTTAGCATGCCTTATTTGTAGCTGTGCTAAGCAGCTTTTCTGGTTGGGTGGCAGTGTTATTGTGCCATACTGAGGGGACACAAGAGGAGAAGTCCCCCCCTAAAGTGAACATCATGAAAAGAAGTGAGCCTCAGGTTAATACCAAACAAGACTTTGGAGCATTTGTTTTTAAAGTGGAGAAGTGTAAAGTCCAATAGATTTCATATGCATATACAGAAAGACAGCATCCTTGGAAACAGTGAATTGTGTGGGGTGTCAGTCTCTGTCAAAGAAAGGTTGAGAGAGGATGGGTGTTTCTGTCCTGCTATTATAATGAGATTCTTAGGAATCAGTAGGAGCTATTACCTTGCTTGGATGCTGTCTTCTGTAGTGCAGTTTGTCACCCTCTTTTCTAAACTCTCCAATGAGCAGTAGGAATGTTGTGCAGTTTGACATCTCCGTTGCTCTGTCACCTGGAGGAAAGGTCCAGAGATACTCTTAAAACTTTGCAGGTAAAAGTGGTCTGTGGCTGGAAACTGAGGTGAGATTCAAAATGGAAATGAGGGAAGAAATAACAGGCTGTCTGCCCAGGGATCTGCCTAGTCCTGTGGATTCTCTTCCCTGATTTTTGCTTTCCAGAGATGGCACATCTCATCTGTAAACTGATGGACATTGTAGAAATAACTGAATGAGTTCTCTGGAAGAAGGTTTAAATGCCTGTCTTCAGTCTCTCCTGAATCTTCCTTGGATCTGGTATGGATATTGGCCAGTGTTTAATGCTTTTTCTCTTTCCAGAGCGGGACTACCACAGCTTGTGTGAGAAGCAGCCCATAGGCCGCTTGCTCTTCCGGCAGTTTTGTGAAACCCGGGTGGAGCTGATGCGCTGTGTCAAGTTTCTGGATGCTTTGGTAAGCACATCTGTGTGGGATCCTCTGGTGGCTGTGTGTGGGTACTGCCTGCCTGCAGGGCTGAGTGTACAGAGGTGGCTTACTCTCACCTTGTTGCGTCTGCTGCAGTCATATCCTGTTCAGAGTTGACTTGCGTGTTGAGTGTTTATGGTGGATACTGAATTCCTCACAAAGACTACTTGGGCAGGTGGTGGATTTCCTGCAACTTTCCTCATCTGGCTCAATGCATTTGATCATCTATCCATATCGCCTGTATTTTGGCCTTCCTTCGGGGAACTCATGGCAGTGCACATGGTCCTCCCCACCCCCTTTGTCCTCCCAGCAGCCCTGTAAAGTAGGTTAGATTGTGAGAGCATGACTGGCCCAAGGAGTTGCATGGCTAAGTGAGGATTTGAAGCTGGGTCTCCCAGGTCCGGGTGTGACACTTTGAATTGCAACACCACACGGGCTTCCGATGGCTGATCTGGATCCCTTCTGCATTTTATTCTTCGTACAGGCCCCTAAAGCAAATAGGTGATGCTTTCTTTCCTTTCCTCTTTTCTCTATAGGTAGAGTATGAAGTGGCGCCTGATGAAAAACGGAAGGAGTGTGGGCAGATCCTGATTGAGACATACCTGAGCTCTAAGGTGAGAACCTTCTCAATTAGCAGCAGTGAAGAAAAGGAGCTGGGTGGATAGCTTGTGGCCACTGCACTGATGAGCTGTATGGTAAGTGGCTGTAGTGAGAGCTGAACTTTAGTCTAATGAAACATTACCATCCTGGAGTAAATACTTGTGCCAGCTACTAGCTTAAACAGAAGTGTAATATTTTTTTCAAGTTTGACCCTGATCTTTTGTTCTTAGGGTGTGGACCATGTTCCTGAAGTTCCCTCACATCTAGTAAATCTGTGCTCAGAGCGACTGGAGCAGGAGCCATGTAAAGAGCTCTTTAAGGAATGTACCAAGTGAGTGGGAAGACTGGGAGTTTCTTGTGGGAGAATATTCACATTTCCCCAGGATAGTAGTCACTGGGTTGGATCCTGCAGAGAGGATGGCTGCTGATGGAAAGGGGTGATTTCTGGCAGTTCCTTTCTCCTGCTGCAGACCTCCAGCCCAGCATGTTGCTCCAGAGCCGGGGGGGGTGTGTCTCTGTCCCCCAGGAGAAGCATTTGGGGGGCATTTTGGGATGCCTCTTCTCTGTCTTAAACTTTTCGCACTGTCTCAATATTTGCTTCATAGCCTTATCCGAATATCAGTCCTTCCATATCTTGAAAGGACTGTTCAGATTATCAGAGAGAGAGAATTGTGCTTATGCCTGTGGCTGTATTTGAAGGCTGAAACACTGCTAAAAGGAAACTTCTTAACAACAGCCATTGCTTGGAGGGTTTTCCCTGTGTTCTTCATCGTGTTGTCATTATCCAACATAATTCAGGACTCTGGTCTTGCAGTTGTACAAAAATCTCTGGCACTGTGTCATAAACACTGGTGTTCTAGGAACAAAGAGCCTCTGGTCTGGACCCTGCTTTTCTGCCAACCTCTGCAAAGGGAAGTGCCTGTCTTCTTCCTTTCAATTGCTCCCCAGATTGGATATCTTGTCCTTGGACTCATCATGATGTCTGGGGTCCTTGGCATAGTCCTGGCCTCATGAGCAAAGAGCCCTTCAAAGCCTTTGGAAATTGTCAAGCTTTTGATGTGTAATGAGCCCTCAACACCATATGTCTTCTGTATGTTCCTGTGTAGTAGAACCTCACTGTTTCTGAGAGGCTCTGTTCCCTTCCTTAGGCTCATCCACGACTACCTGAGTGTGGCACCTTTTGCTGACTACCTTGACAGTATCTACTTCAGTCGTTTTCTGCAATGGAAATATCTTGAAAGGTAAAACTCCACCTTTCTGTGGTTTCATTGGTATGTGTTGGGTATGCTTTATTTGACCAAGTGCCCTCATGCATGATGTCCTGGTGAAGAATATGTTCCATGCTTCTTCATTTGCTCGCTCTCTGTCATGAGAAGAAAGATGCTGCTGGCTGGTGGTCATGAAAGGAAAATTTAGCATGTTTCGGCTTTTGCTGTGGTCAGTCTAGTAACAAATAAATATACATTGCAAAAACCTTTTAGCAAACTAATGTGTTCTATTTATGGTCATCATTTAGTAAAGTGCATAGTGTATCGTTATTTCATCCTAGTCAGGTATATATAGTCATTACATTCAATAAGCAATAACATTCAATACATACAGATTCCTAACTACCAAACAATTTTGCATCAGTGTTTTAAAAGTCAAGCCCCAACGGGAATTTCTAGAATTATAAGCCCACTTCTCCTTGCATGAAGTCTTCCAAAAGGGGGGACAGCCTTCTTGTATGGATGCTTTTTGCCGGTCCTACAAAAGACGTATCATGCAGCTAACATTCATGGACGGAGTACTCCTGTCACTCTCAAAGCTGCATCATTTTGCTGTGGTCAGCCTTGAACCTGATAAGCTACATGATTCTACTCCCTTCATATGCAGCAGTCTGATTAATTGTAATATTGAATTTTTGCTTAATTTGCAGAATAAGGGATGCATGGGAAGCGGGGAGAACCTTTTTACCCTTTCAGTTGATTACCTCTAGTTCACTCTAGTTTCCTCTGTTCGTTCTCAGGCAGCATGTGACCAAGAATACTTTCCGCCAGTATCGTGTACTAGGAAAGGGAGGCTTTGGAGAGGTATGTAGCCTCAACACAGGTGGTGACTTCCCTTCTTGCTTCCAAGAAGCAATAGCATGGAATATGTGTGTGTGTGTGGGGGGGGTTGTTTGTGTTCCATAATAAGAGTGTGTCGTTAGTTTCAGGTGGGTAGCTGTGTTAGTCTGTAATAGGAGATCAGAATTTAAGTACAGTAGCACCTTCAAGACCAACCATGTTTTCTAGGGTATAAGCTTTTGATAGTCAAAGATTATCAAAAATTTTGATAGTCCTTAAGGCAGAGATGTCAAACATATGGCCCATGGGCCAGAACCAGCCCATCCAGGGCTCTTATCCAGCCCATGAGTCATTACCTTTTTTGCCAGATGACAGAGGCTATGCATTATGTCCCTGTATACTGCCCCAGTGCTAACGAGTAACAGCCGTGGAAGAAGAGGAGGAGATTGGATTTATACCCCACCTTTAACACGGAGTCTCTGAGTGGCTTACAATCTCATTCCCTTCCTCTCCCCACAACACACCTTGTGAGGTAGGTGGGGCTGAGAGAGCTCTTGAGAGAACAGCTCTGAGAGAAGTGTGAATGACCCAAGGTCACCCAGCTAGCTGCATGTGGAGGAGTGGAGAATCAAGCCTGGTTCTCCAGATTAGAGTCCACCACCCTTAACTGCTACACCAGGGTGGGCCTCAGGGAGATACTTTAAGGGGAAACACTGTAAGAGTGTTAATGTTTTAAGCATACTTGTATTTTGAATTAAAAATAGTATCATTAATTGGGTTTGCCTGTGTCCTTTATAAAGTTCATATCTCTTGTGCCTGGCATTACATTTTATGGCGCACAGGGCCTGGCCCAACAAAGTGACATTTATGTCAGATCTGGACTTCATTCATAAATGAGTTCAACACCTCTGCCTTAAGGTGCTACTGGACTCAGACTTCAGCCCTGAGTGCAGGTGCTGTCGGTTAGCTGGGCAGTGAGTGTCAGGCTAAGCATCTTGGAGAGCAATCCTCAGAAGGTCTACTCAGAATCCTATTAAAGTCTATACAGTGACACTTACTCCTAGAAAAATGTTTCTAGGATGGCATTGTTGGGTTCTTTCTGCTGCTTTTATTATTTCATACCATAAATACCACTCTCCAAGCAGAGAGATTCCAGGCTGCGTAATCATAAAACTACAATCTTAAAACTATTTATTTTGGTTTAACTACTTCTGAGCCCTGAAGGGTGGGTTGCATTTTTTTTCACAGCAACAAGAGGCAGGAGCCAATTTTTCCCACCATAAACTGGTTTTCACAGTGTATCACAGTATAACCATTTAATCTCTAAGGTACCACAGCATTTTACCTGGAAGCTATTCAAGTGAAAGTGATGATTTCAGAATCTAACGAATTGTTTGATTGGCAGTTATTTCTTCCTAAGGATATTTTCTTCTTTCAAGGTATGTGCTTGTCAAGTAAGAGCCACTGGGAAGATGTATGCTTGCAAGAAGCTCGAGAAGAAGCGAATAAAAAAGAGGAAAGGGGAAGCCATGGCTTTGAACGAGAAGCAGATACTGGAGAAAGTGAACAGTAGGTTTGTAGTAAGTACATAGGAACTGCTTTACTTTTGTGCTTGGGATGAGACAGGGCTTGCCCTTGCCCTTGAGTCTCACCCACCCCAGTGAAACTCTGAGTTTCATACTGCAGAAGGCTACAGTGCTAGGAATTTCCTCAACCAGATGACCGTTGGATATCCCTCCTGTCAACCAGGAGCCCATGGTGCTGTACTTTGGACTAGTATCCAGCTGCCTGGGAACACTCTGATAACACTGGGGCTTGGATGGGTGTCTTCAGTTGCCATCTCCTGCTTAAGACCAGTATTCAGGGAGATGTCTGGATTAGGGATGGGCACATACCAAAAAAAGGTGGTTTGTGGCAGCCTGTGGACTGAACCCCAAACCAAACTGGCCTCACAGAGATCGAACTGGTTCATGGCCCTGCAAACCCCATTGAAAGGGACCGCAGTCTCTTCAAATGAAGTTTGCGGAAAGCTGGAAAAACAGCTGAGTGGCTGGGAGCAGCTTGCTTCGTGCTGCACAGCTGTTTCACGGTGTCTTTTGCAGTCCCTTTAAACGTTAAAAGGGCTGCAGAAGACAGCCCAAAATACAGCAGCCAGCAGGGGGGGGGATCTCTCGGGAAGGGACTTCCCTCCCACCTTTCAGCTGGCCACAGTGGGCCTTGGCCAGCAGAAAGGGGGGTGGGGAGATCTCCTGAGAAGAATTCCCGGGAAGGGAGGTCTTCCTCCCCTTCCTTTCTGTTGGCCACAGGGAGTCACTGCCAGCAGAAAGGAAGGAGGGAAGATCTCCAGGGGAGGGACTTCACCCTTTCCATTTACACCCGTTTTCTGGTCCCCACAAAAAGCCACAGAGAGCACAAAGCAGTGGTGGTTTAAATGGCTCCAAACCATTTAAACCAAACAGCTGAGCGGTGAGGAGCTCCCAGCCACTCAGCTTTTCCTCCTGAAGAGCAGAAAGCAGGGGTAAACCTGGGCTTTCTGCTCTTCATGAACCATCACGAGCCACCATAAATTGCACCCAAAATTCATAGTAGTTTGTCCTGGTTCTTCAGTTCCTGAACCCTGAAGAGGCCAAAATTCCTGATGAGCTTTAGTTTGTCAGCTGGTTTGTGCCCATCCCTAATCTGGATGATGGCTTGTGCACTGTTCCGATTCTCTGCCGCCACCACTGTAAGGTCTTCATTTTCAGAGGTGTTGAACATGAGGTATTCTTCTGTGGTTCTATCTCACAGCCACTGTACTATTTAAGAACCAGATTTTCATTGCAATGGTCTTTACCTCTCAGTTGTGATCCACCTTTCTCAACTGAGTAGCAGTCAGTACATTTCTGCTGTTGGTCATGTTTGTGTGGCACTGGGCTTTCCATCTGTGCCTATTGGTTTGAAACCATAGAAGCAGAGCTGGGGCCAATGTGGGGTAGTGATTAGAGCAGCCATCCCCAGCCTTTTAAAACCCGTGAGCACCATTATAATTCTCACAGTGTGATGGACACAGCTTTAGGATGGCCACCACAGACTGGCTGCCACTAGAGGCAGAGCTGGCCACAAAATGGCTGCCACTGCTTACCTTCAGTTACACAGAGCAGATCCTTGTGCTGTGGTGGCAGCTACTGCCGAACAACCTTTTTAAAAATCTGCACAGTCAATCAAATTTCCAATGGCCAGTCCAAAGCCTCATTGTAAAAAGCTCCACCTCGCCCTGCCCACTCTCCTGATAAGTGCCAGGAAAGATGTCTGCAGGCACCATGGCACCTACTGGTGCCACATTGGGAACTCCTGGATTATCAGACTAGCATTTGGAACATTCAGGTTTGAATCCTCACTGTGCCATGAAAGTTTGCATGGTAATCTTGGGTCAGTCACTCTCTCAGCCTAAACAACTTCACAGGGTTGTTATGAAGATAAAATGGAGGGGAAGAGCAATGTTGTAATCTGCTTTGGGTCCCGGTTGGAGAGAAAAGTGTGATATAAATAAAAAGGTTCCACCTCTTGACAGATCTCTGGATTTGCTTTTCCACTGTTGAGAAGCTGAGAAAAGAGTGCTTTTGCTAGTGGTTTAAAAGTAACCTTGAAGCAGTTCCAGTTTTATTTGTGTTTAAGCCATGTTTTTGTGTGTTTAAGCCATGTTTTGGAAGATCTCTGGAAACCAAACTTCCCTTAAAGAATAAAGTGTAACATGTTTTTTCACTTTTAACTTGAGGGTTTTGGAAGATCTCTGGGAACCAAACTTCCCTTAAAGAATAAAGTGTAATCCTTGATTTCATAAATGAGGTTGGTTGGTTGAAGGGAAGGGAGTAGCAACGTGCCTGCAAGGCAGATCTGCTCTTTGCATGCAGAGATTTCATTGACGTGGGTAGGCTTTGCATTCTTTGGCTTTGTCATCATAAAGGAGTTCCTGGACATGTGTGTGGCCTTCAGTCCAACTAATAGGACACCTGTGTATTTCATTTTTAACTGAGCTGAACTTTAATAGGTCAAAGCAGTTCTTTATAATTGGGAAATTTCTGCCTGTGGATCATGACTCCAGTCTCTGATCTCTCCCTCATACTGCAGACCCACTGTAGCCTTCCAGGGGGCATTTGGGCTGCAGCGGGTGACAATTGCACTCTGCTGGCAGAAATCCTTCTATCTGTGGAGATGCTGCATAGTATCCAGCAGCCTGTTACCTGAGTGACATCTTGCTTTGAACCCTCTTTGTATTTTATATATACTTTGTATTTAGTATGTGGCTGCTGTGCTGAGTGAGGTTGTTTTGCTTCTGTTCTAGCAGCTGACTAACCTGGCTTGTATTGTAGGTGAGTTTGGCCTATGCATATGAAACGAAAGATGCTCTGTGCTTGGTCTTAACCCTCATGAATGGAGGGGACCTGAAATTCCATATCTACCACATGGGAGAAGCGGGCTTTGAAGAGCCACGAGCTGTTTTCTATGCTGCTGAAATCTGCTGCGGTTTGGAAGACCTTCACCATGAGAGAATAGTATACAGGTGATGCGAGCAGACGTTTCTCACAGTCCTAGGTGGTGTTCAGGGAGTTTCAGTGCCAGTAAGAATTTGCACGATCTCCAGCTGGGCTCTGAACTCTCCGAGACCAAGATTGAAAGCTCGATGGAAATGTCAACCCCGTGGGCAGCAGTGGTTTAAAAAAAAAAAAGGCACATTCCATGTTGGGGATTATTAGGAAAGGGATTGAGAATCAAATGGCAAATATCGTAATGCCCTGGTATAAAGCCATCCTGCAGCCTCGGTTGGGATACTGTGTACAGTTCTGGTCACTGTATCTCAAAAAGGATCATGCAGAGCTGGAAAAAGTACAGAAGAGGCAACTGAGATGATCAAGGGGTTGGA